TGTTCTCCCGGCGCCTATTTATACTATAGTCGCACCGGTAGTGACGTCATGGGCTGTCGCCGGCCAACTTGTTGTTGGTGTTTTTTCAATGTATGCTTCAGACACGGGTCACGACGAGGCATTCCCCATAGCGACCCCTAGAGGACGCAGTTCGAAGTTCCCTTGAAAGGGAACTGTGAAAAGTTGGCTAAGTTATTATGAATAATATTTATTTATTAATATCATTTAGACATAATAATATTACATTATATATGATTTTCCACATAATTTTAGCTGCACTCACCATCAAATGTAATTTTATTGAACCCTAGTTTGTAATTGGTTGTTGTTGTTTTTTCAGTTTTGGTTTTGATTAAATTCACTTTGATTTGATTCAGTGTGTTATTTGCCATTTTTTGTAATTATTTGTGAAATTTACTAGCAATTTCTGAGTAAAAATTGTTTTAAAGTAAATCGTACATCAAGGTTGTTGTTTTTTTTCTCAGTGTGCGGCACTAAACACTTTAAACTTGCAAAAGTTGCAGAATATGGACTATTTCATACAAAAAAAAATATTTCAATACAAAAATAAGGATTTAAACCCGTATGACTTTGTTCTATGGAAAAAATCCCATTCCTATAGGTATAAAAGCTCTGAATTTGGGTGAATCTCATTTTTCACCCTGAAAACTAAAGGATAAAAAATAAGAATTTATATTTTAAGACCATGTTTAAGATGAGTAATTACAATTAAGAAAAGTTATGTTTATTAAATTCTCAATATAAAAACATTTTTTGTTTATTTATGAAATGTTAAATTGTTCAAACATGGTTTGGCGCACTCATTGTATAATGACACATATATGTTTTTTTTTTCTTTAAAATAATGTACATTGATGAAATGCTGATCATGCACAATAGAACCAGAGATGTTTATTAAAGGAATATTTCATGAAAAATGAGGATTCATGTCATTTTGTTCAGAGAGTTGTCATGATTGAAATATATATATAAGTTCTTTGAGTTGCATTTGGGTGAATATAATTTTTCACCCTAAATTCAATAAAAATAAATAAATAATACGAATTTATATTTTGCATAATGAAAATGCATTTTTAAGGCCGTTACAATTAAGCAAGCTTTTTTATTAAATTCTCTAAAAAAAATTGAATTTTTTCTTATTTATGAAATGTTAAATTGCTCAAACATAGTTGCATTATCACTGGTGATCATGCACACAATAGGACCAGAGACATATTTCATGCAAAAATGAGGCTTTGTGTTGTTTTAAATCCATATGAATTTAATCAATGGGGGAAAAAAATAGTAGTTCATATTTATACAGCATGTTTCGTGTCTTCTGAAGTCATATGATAGCTTTGTGTGACAAACAGACTGAAATTTAAGTCATTATACATTGAAAATTTGGAATATAGTGTACAAGTTTTATTGTGCTTTTTGTTATTTTAATAGCTATTGTTTGTAGATAGGCTACCTTTAAACATCATTTTGATTGTAAAAATGAAAGTCATACGGATTCAGAAGTAAATGATGACAGAATATAATTTTTTTTGTGCGAATTATCCCTTTAAGAGCGCCGGCATGCTGAAAACACTGTAATGAATGCAGGAGGAAGTGTTTGGACGAGCTGTCAGGTGAAATGGAAAGCCAGGTGGTTTTGGGGAGAGCGAGATGACAGACGCGGAGGGACGACACAGATGAAGGCGATGTGTGTTAAGTGTGAACGCTGCGGGACAGACAGCTATCAGACAGGTCGGGCTTGTTGTCCTCACGCGACTGCAGTCATAACAGCCGCTGTCAGTCGTGCTAATTGGTGGCGCTAAAAATAGGCAGTGAATAAATCAGATCGGTGACACGCGGCTCGTCTTGCTCTGACCCTTGTTAGAAAGCCAGACAAGGAGAGTTCGGAGAAAGTCAGCAGACCTTGGGCATGCTGGGATGGTCTGCTGTCAGAATTAAATCCCATCCTATTTCAGTGAATCTTATTTTTTACCCCAAAATCTGAAAGGAAAAAATGAGAATTCATATTTTGCATAATGAAAATTAATTTTTAAGACCATTAGGATTTTTTGCAATCATTACAATTAAACACTTTTTAAATTAAATTGTCAAATAATAATATTTATGTTTGTTAATCAAATTTTACACTTATCACTTATCGTATTAATTAAATTAATTTAACTTTTTATTAAAATCTGAAACAGAAATATTTTTGTTTGTTAATGAAATGTTGATTTGTTCAAACAGGGTTTGCAATTATCATATAATTAAGCACATTTTTATTGAATTCTCAAAATAGTTATATTTTAGTTTATTAATGAAGTGTTAAATTGCTTTAATATGGTTTGAACTTACTGTATAATTAAGCACAATTTTTTTTTATTAAATTTCAAACTTATAATATTTTAGTTTATTAATGAAATGTTGAAATGCTCAAACATGGTTTGCACTTATTGTGAAATTAGGCACATTTCTTTAAACATTTAAACTATAGTATTTTAGTTTATTAATGAAATGTTGAATTTTGCATTAATCGTATAACAGCCCATCCATACTTCAGATGTTTTGTGAGTGTTTCAGGTAGCTTCCCAGCGATTGTCCCTGCGTCCTCCAGCAGTACTTTAAATTGCGCCCAAAGCCGTCATTCAGCACAAAGGCGCTCCATTATTAATGAAATCACAGCAGCAGATGGCCTTCGTTTGGGAGCCCATCCAGAATTGAAGTAGGCCTGTAAAGCTGGGTCACAGATGTGTGCAGCGGGACGCGTTCTCCTCCTCTGAGGTCTTTCTTTATTCATACCCCGAGGAACGCGGTGCGGCCAGGAATGATGGTTTTAAGTGTGGCAGGGTCCATATGACAGCAGAGTTCGATTAAACACTCATAACTCTTCCATTAGACAGAGAAAGACTCGGACAGCGATTCTTGCACAGCGAAGGGAAAATGCAACTCTTAAACCATGCCAGAAATATTACTGGAATCCAAGGGAGGATGTCAGGCCCTCTGAATGTTTTACAGGTTTTGTTTTTTTCATTATAGGCAGCTCTGTTTTCCAGACATTTCTATTAATGGACTTTTTAACATGAAGCAAGTTGTTGCAGTTTTACTGGAAAGCATGCCTGTGTTCACAATATCATAATACTTCAGGATTCCCAGGCAATCTTTAAAAAGTGATTTGCAGGCCTGGAAATTCTTAAAAAGTTATGGAAATATTTTATTTTATTTTATTTTAAGTTACACTCGGCTTTTTAAAAAATCCACTATTTTTGCCATATTATTACCTTACTGTTCAAAAGTTTGAGGTCAGTAAAAAATTTTTAATGTCTTTAAAAAATCTCGCCACGGCTGCATTTATTTGAGTAAAAATACAGTAAAAACAGTAATATTGTGAAATGTTATTACAAATTAAAACAGCTGTTTTCTAATTTTGTCATTTAATCCTGCACTGTAAAAAGAAAATCTGTGACATTTACGGTAAAATACCGGCAGCTGTGGTTACCAGAACTTCACCGTTAAAAATATGGTAGAAACATTTTAGGTTTTACAGACTTAACTTAAATTCACAATAAAAAAACGTATTTCATTAGCTGATGTAATGTTAATAAACCAACATATTGAAGTACTAATATCTGTTTTGAAACATTGTAATGCTGATAACCACCAAAAACAGGTGGTGATGAGAAAGTCACATGATGAATCAAAGCTCATCACAAACAGCTCTTCCACAAGCTGAGGAGGGAAATACTAATATATATATATAGAGAGAGAGAGAGAGAGAGAGAGAGAAGGTGCACACATTGTCATTCACAAAAACACTAAACCCCATCATGATAACACACATGATACTGAAATAATGCAATAAACATTAATTTAACAACATTAGATGTAAGATAAAACACTAATGTACACAACTGATAAGGAAAAACTAAGAAGAAACATTTTTACTGTAGCATTTTTACAGTCTTTTACTGTTAAAATCACAATCATTTTTTACAGTGTGTGATCAAGTCTTCAGTGTCCCATGATCCTTCAGAAATCATTCTAATATGCCGATTTGCTGCTCAAAAAACATTTCTGATTATTATCAATGTTAAAATCAGTTTCAAATCAATCAGTTGAAATCAATATTTTTGTGGAAGCACCGTGATACATTTTATTTTTTAGGATTCTTTGATGATTAGAAAGCTCAAAAGAACAGCATTTATTTGCAATAGAAATCTTTTATAACATTATAAATGTCTTTACTGTCATTAAAGCATGCTTGATGAAAAAAAAGTATTAAAGGGGTCATATGATGCGATTTCAAGTTTTCCTTTCTCTTTGGAGTGTTACAAGCTCTTGGTGCATAAAGAAGATCTGTAAAGTTGCAAAGACTAAAGTCTCAAATCCAAAGAGATATTCTTTATAAACGTTAAGAGTTAACCACGCCTACCTAAAACGGCTCGTTCTAACACGCCCCCACACTGTAAACCCGAACAGTACTACTAACTTATAAAGATTAAGAACACTGCAATTAAAGTCTGTTAAATCGTTGATACATTTCATTACACCAAATACACAAAATAATGTTCTTTTTAGCAGCATCATATGACCCCTTTAATTTCTCGCAAAAAACTATTTACTGACCCCAAACTTTTGAACTGTAGTGTATATATTGCAGGAATAGTATATAATAGTATGCAATTCTAATTTTTAGCATCTCTTTCTTGACTGATTTTTTGTTGAGACTACCAAAAGTTAGGACATTTTTACATAAATTGGACTAAAGATACAAAACAACATGTGAGAAAACATAGCACACTGTTTGTTTTATTTTATACTGTCTTACATACTATTTTTGTAATAATACTTGATCTTTTGCAGCATATAGTGTGCAGTAGCCGTGCTGTAGTGTTTCATTTCAAACCTCTTTCTCTTGCTCTGTAGTTTAGTTTCCACCTCACTTCCTGTAAGCTCGTCTCTGTTGCCTCAGAACCTCTGTAAATGATTTTACTCCCATAATATTTCATTTTTAGACCAGCACACCCCAGCACTAATGACTTTCTCACTCTGACACTTAATAATCTCCAGTTGGAGTCTCACAAAACAATTTAACTCGTAAGCATTTTTTCCACAGGGCCAAAATGTAATATCATTTGAATTGCATCTAGGCCTTGGATTCTTTTGCACAATGATTGTGAGTTCACAGTCCTAAATCACTCACTGATGTCTGTACACTGAACTAAAGCTGGTGTAGGATTTACTTCAACACAGTTTTCACTCAGAAATTGCAAGTACATTTCTCAAATAATTACAAAGAAATGGCAAGTATTGAATTTTCTTGTACACATCTTGTATTTTCTTGTAAAATGTACTACAAAAAAATCTTTATATACAACTTATATATATATATATATATATATATATATATATATATATATACGTGTATTAA